CATTGTCTATTTGAACTCTGTCTAAAAAGTTAAAATCCTGTTTGTTTGTTTTTACTCCCTAGCACCCTCCTCAGAGGAACCCAAGATTCTCTTTCAGATGTTTACTGTGAATCAGTATCTTGCACAGGACATCTGACATGATCAGAGGGAAACACTCATAAATGCAAACCTGGGTTCTGTGTAGCATTCAAAGAACATACCGCAAGGCACATTGATGTTAAAGCCGCTGTGCTCTTCAGAAAACCTGGCCTGCATGTTTCCAAGGGTTTCTGTGTCTGCATGCATGTGTCTGCACAGACAGCACTTCCATTGGGAATGCCCACAAAATGCTGCATATACAAGCCCACTGGGTTTACTCCTTTGCTTCATTTGCTGGTTAATGGAGAGTTGCTTCCTCTACCAGCTCCAACTTCATTTATTTGAACTGATACATCTTCACTCTCTTTTATGAGTTACAGTATGATGATTCACTGTTCCAGTCCTTTGGTTTTTCCTTCAAGCACCATTACACGCTTCCATTGATTGCAAATATACACTAGGTTATTTTCAGGCAAAAAATATAAATATGTTAAAAACACTGGAGATCACAAATGGACATCTCTTCATCTTTACTTAGTTTCTTACTGCACCAGTTGAAAGACTTCTGTTTCTTCTGGGTTCCTGGTGAGCTCTCAGGTTAGCCAACTACATACTGTCCACTTTACTAGAAACTTCCTCCTTAAACTCCCTTACTGAACTGCATCACCAAACTCCCATTAGCTCTCCATATGCATTTAACATGGAAGAGATGGGAATGTACATGGGAATGTAAACACAGCACATGTCTTTATTCATTGAAGTAATTGCGTCTGTCTAGGATTGCAGAATTAGCCATGTGATCTTGGAAAAAATATGTCTCTGCTTTAATGAGTAATGGACAGATGCTCCATTTGTGCTCCTTCCCATTCTTTTGAAAAAAATCCAGAGCATTACACAGCCATACTAGCTATCTTATATTCCATATAAAGACTCTGCAGTAGCCCCTGCTTATCAGCAGGAAGCAGCCACCAAATCATCTATGAGAAATCAAGAACTTTCAGGATATGCCCTTTGCAATCTGTATGTATGTATGTATGTATGTATGTATATATGTATGTATGAAGTTTATATGCTGCCCTTCTCCCCCAGAGGGTGACTTAGTAGCTGTTCAGGAGGTGACTTTTCCTTTCTTAGCCCTAACATGTTAGCATTCCATTTTTCTGATTACTCTTCTCTCTTGCCTCTCTCTTCTGCTGAATTTAAAACAGTTTTGCTGGGGATGAGGATGGAATATAAGGCATGGGAGCTGTAAATTGTATGCATAAACACATACCTCACAATAAAGTCATTGACAAAATCTTGGTGCTCTTGTGTGTAGTCAGTACTTTTGGGGAGGACTATGTAAAAAAGGGAAAAGGCCTCTTTTTCTCTTAAGATTGAATAGTGCTGTGGGAAGGGCTAATTGCGAACAATGCTAAGTCTGAACAAGCAGGACAATATTGGTTTGTGATAGATAACATATTTTTAGAAGTTGATTAAAATAAGAAATGCCGCAGGCTGGAGAGGAATTCTGTCTTTAGTACTATACTGCATGGTTCCCTCTGTTCAATAGTCTTTGGGGAATGGCTAAACATTCCTCTGAAGCATGATCCTCTTGCATTTCTGTGAAACTGAATTCTTGGTGCAATATATTGTCCAATCAGACATCTTTAAACTTCAAAAAGTATAATAATAGACATAAAACCTCAAACAGACCAAATGATCTGATGCAGCTTTTTGGAATATGACATTTACATTGGTTATCTGGCCAACCTAAGTGTGATGCATCATGTACAAAGCATTGCCTTGATTTTTTCACACCTACCTGCCAATCAGAGGGATTTTGGGCTGCTGGACATTTTGTATTCACTGACTGACTGACTAAGTTAGTGTTATAGCCGCTCACTTAGAAAATTATAGGCATTTACTCATAAAGTTTCCTTTTAAATCCTGATAGATATGAAAGTATCTATAGGTCTTTATTTTCATTCTATTCCAGGGCTGTTTACCAAACTTCACTCATGCTGCTGTGATAAAGGCATTTTCACTGTTACACACAAATGAGCGGTGAGAGTGAAACTTAGTATGTTCTCTCTCTTTTGATTGCTGTTATTATTGGAAAATCACTGTAGGTAATTTCCAGTTAAGTTTGTATCCAGCACATTCCAGTGACTCCCTGTGTCCAGATCAGAACAAGCACATTTGGCACTTAGTGCAGCAATCAGAAGTATAGCTTGATGTTTGTTTATTACATAAAAGCAAACCTGAAAACATTTAACTAGCAAAAACCAGGATAAAAGGCAGTCAAAAGCATGTGGGGGGTGGGGGGATTGCTAGAGAGAGACATGAACAACAGGCAAGAATTTACATTATCTGTATCAAAAGGATACAGAACTTTCCAGAGCCCTTGAAAACAATACTGTGCCTAATTAGCATGCACGGTCCCAGGGAGTAGCCTTTGGTGATTCCTGCTTTAACCCTTTTATGTGTTTAGAAGTAGCATAGCAGATGGAAAGGAGGACACTGGGTGATCCCTCTTCTATTCTGCACCATGAAGAGACATTTTGGGGGATGGGGATGATGCATCCAACAATTATCAGCATCTTTGTGTTAAGTCCGAAGATCTGAAGGAGGAAACCTCTTATGTCCCTGAAGGCTAGCTGTTACAGTACCCTCATTTTCCACAGTTGGACTTCATGTGGAGATCCTGCATGCTGTGCTAGAGTATGTTCCCATTTCCGCAGTTTGGCCTGTATAGGAAGAAGGCAATGGAGTGAGCAGAACGACTATGTTCTTTCTCATTTTCTTTTTTCACATTTGTTGCAACTAAGCTTCAGAATGCAAGAAGCTGTAAAGATTTGTCATTTTGTTCTGTTGAAGAGCAAACATGCCAACTAAAATTTCATAGCCAGGTATCTCCTCTCTTTAACATGAAAGCTGTCTGTGCTTACGGAAAGCTTTCTGCTCATGGCAGAGAGTGTGTGAAGGCAAAGTGGCAAAACATTCAAACTGCTGGATGAAGTAAACAATGTTCTTTGTCTTGGCAGAGACCCTGAACGAAGGGATATGATGAGGTGGGGGTTGCTCTTTTAACTGGAAAATTTCTTCATAATCACTGAGCCAAGCTGTGTGTAAATGTCTTCAGGAAACAAGAACAAGCACTTCAGATGGACTGTCGTGGCTTAATCTATCCAAATATACACACCCCTGGGGTTCTTCTGGCTTGCTCCATTGTTCTGTTTTATCGCTTGCTGTGGCTTTACTCTTGGCAGGCTCCTTTCATGGCACTTGCCACTCAGTGGTCGAAGATTCTCAAGTTACTTGTGAATTACTTTAGGAGATGGATTATTTGTTTTATTAGTCCTATTTCTTACTAAAGGAGCTCAGAGTATGAGGCACTGAGCAAATAACCCCACATCATTTAGACCAGTGGTTCTCAAACATTTTGGTCTCAGGACACCTTTACATTCTTAAAAACAATTGCAGATCTCCAAACTAGAAAAAGAAAATGTAGAGAGCTCAAGGACAGACCACGCTCCTTAATTAAATATTGGATTTAATCTTAGAAAAGGGAAAGGCAGTAAATAGCCTGGGTAACTGCATCTGAATATGTTCCTTAAAATAAAGAATTATTTATTTAGATAAATTGATAATACTTATTATTTATAAAGCCAAGATATAAAATGATATCTGCAAAACTAAAAATAATGAAAATTAACAACTGGAAAATTCACAAACTCAACTATATAAGAAAAAAATAATTGCAGTATAAAAACTGTTAATAAATATGTATAATTGAGAGTACAAAAATTGTCAGCATTTAATATAATTTGCTAAAATGACATTTGTGCTGATGGGAGCAATCAATCAGGAAAAGCCTTACAGTATTAGGAACTAATACATTGTGTTAATCTTTCACTAACCTTTATTATAGGATTTCTGAAACATGCTTGGTGTTAACTTTTCTATCCCTAAGGGAAAAAAAAAGTCTCAGAAAAAGAATAGAGAGTAAAGTATGTCTGAGTATGGGCAGACTGCTTTGTCTTAATATGTACATAAAGGTTTCATCCAGCCTGCTGATGATAGACAAGGCATAGTGAATAGACTGTTTGTCTGTGTCCCATTCTTAGGCAGTCTGCCTAGACTGATCGCATTGTAAAGATGTAGCTGGAGGTGGGACAGCAGAAAGTTTTTTTAAGACACGAGCTATAATCTGATGTATATGTGGGAAGAAGCTCTGTTGAATTCTGTGGGGCTTATTATTGATACACATCTATAGGATTGCATTGTTAGTGCCTACAAGCTATTCAAATGTGCCATGAAATAATAATATCAGTGCAGTGGAATTGAATGCATAGAGTGCAAACAAGCTATTATGGTGCACAAACATAGGGATCAGCCCAGAGTCACTTGTTTGATATGGGTGGCCATAAAAATTGAATAAACAAACAAACAGTTGAACAATTTTACTATCATACCTTTCATTCTTAGTGGTAGAACTGTTTACTGAATGTGCGGTAGGAAGTTTTAAAAGGTTCTATGGCATCTGGGAACATGGGCCCTGGTCCTGCTTCTCCCATTTGCTTGGCATATCCGTGGTCAAAAAAATTTGAACAGCTGCAATGTATGAAAATTTATGTCAGTGTTACTGAAATATTTTAAGACAAGGACTAAAGCAATCCATAATTATCACGGATGGAATCCAGTGTAATGTCTACTTAGATTAGGGTTGCTGTAAATCAACAATTACTCATAGCATACAGTGCATTCCAATTTAATACTGTGTTGCAGATGTATTGCGCAAGATAGTTTTTCCCCAGTAAAACAGATTTTTCCAATCTGGTAATATAGAGCAATATTGTTAATTAAGGTTATGGAGATTTGGGGTTATTTCTTTCAAATGTTCTCAGTTTATTTTTTCTTTATATTTATTTATCTTGCAGATATCCCATTGATTGAAGATGACACTATGGATTACACTATTACTATTAACCTATCTGGGGTGTATACAAGGAGAATTTTTCACTTCTATAGGTATGGAAAATTTTAAACAATATAGTAAAATCATGAAACTTAAAATCTTGTCTTTTTATGAATGCGACACATATCCCACCCTCTAGTTCCTTTCATTCTTTCTAACCCAATTGGGCCACACGGGCAGTTATGTGTGCCCCTAGATCAACACATTTACACCTCTGCTCCATAGGCTGCATTGGTTGCCAGTTTGCTTTCAAGGTGCTGGTTATGTGGCCAGGTTATTTGAGGGACCACCTCTCCCTGGTTACATCTACCTGTTCCATCAGATGAGGTACAAGAGGCGTATTACAGGTCCCATCTGTTAAGGAGTTTCATCTGACAGAACCCAGGAAAAGAGCCTTTTCTGGCATGGCACCTGCCCTTTGGAACATCATTCCCCCTGAGGTGAGATTGGCCTTGACACTATTGGCTTTCTGGAAGGCCCTGAAAACTTGGTTTTGCCATTAGGCCTGGGGATCCCAGAGAAACATGAAGCCCGTGAAATGGCTGTATTGTGTGTAAGATTCTGATTGCGCTCTCCCGTGTCTTCTGTTTAGTTTTTAATTGTTTTTAATGGTTTTGTTGTAATTATTTTGACAGTCCCCATAGAAGCGAATATGTGTAGCTCAGGGTTGAACTGTGGAGTCCTTGGGGTTCCCTGAGCTTGGCTGTTTTCTGGCAAATGTTTCATTACCCGGCTAGGTAACAACTTCAGTGCTAGCTATTTTATATATACTTTATAATTTTATATTTTATTTAGAATAGCTATCAATATTTCGACAGTTTTTGCTTTTTCTATTTTAATTGCGTGAGCCAGCCAGAATCACATACATGAGATGGGCAGCTATATAAATTCAATAAATAAATAAATGGAATGCTGGAGATAAGTTGTGTAAAAGGTCCTATGATATCAGTAGGATAACTGAATAGGGCCAGACATGATGTTGGCAAAGAAGCCATCAGAAGGAAGACTGAATCTGAAAGTGGGCCTAATCTCGCTGGGGGCTGTGGAGAAATAAATTCCAGGGGGAAAAATTCCCCAGTGCATCCCTGTGGGAGTGGCACTTGGGCAGTGGCTCGGAATGCTGCTGACTGCTCTGTTCTGAGCTCCCTCCCTTCTCCCCACGTGGAATAAGCGGAGCCCACACCACGCTTCCTAGTGCATACATATACACAGATGCACATGGACACAACGCAAGTGGAGAACTGAAACACAGAGGTGCAACACGTTACTTAATTGCATATAAGAAAATGCAGATGCCTCCTATGGCCAGGCCTGATAAAAAATTCCAGAAGCCATGCTTTGCATGCTTTTCTTGCCTCATTTACCCCTGGCAAGAGAAAAATGGTCATTTCTTCTGAATAAGCATACTGTTTTTCACAACTATGTTTTAACTATATTTTTGAGTGCCTAATGCATTTTTAAATCTTAAAAGGACTAAATCTTTTCCAGGTCACGGAGGATAGTGTGTGGCTCATTTTGGCACTAAAACCGAAATGATATCACTTCCTTTCATTTCTAATTTTTCTGCCTGTACATTATTGACTGGAGAGCATGAATTTCTCACATGCTCATGTATTTTCTGACAGAACAAATAAAGTTGCAACTGAAAATGGTGTAGAAAACTATATTCCCATAGGAAATAAAAAGCAACTTAAATAAATTTACCAGTTGGATTCCTGCTCATGAAATACATTCCATTAGTGGAATCAAGAGGAGGATTTCCTCCCTCTCCCCTGTAGCTCCATACAGCCCAGATAAACCTGCTTTGGAGCATTGGAGGACTTTGTGGAGAAGATGGTAGGAGCAGGAGCATTGCAGGAGGGAGGAAATCCCAGTATCCAAGTGGACATCTGCATCCGTAATTTAAGATTCTGCCTGAAATCTAGCTGTTGGCATCTGTTTTATTCCTTTCCAAGATGTGCAACTCAGCATGCAGTGTTTGATGAGGCAGGAGAATTCTTTGTACAAAATGGAAAGGATGACAGATAGCCTTCCCTAGAATTTGGCCACATCACTATAATTTTATGGGCTTAATAATCCTAGAAACATATTTAAGGGGGAAATAACCCATTCTTATGCATGACTCCTGTGAACAATTTCGTAAGAAATAAAACGGGCCATAATAAGAACTTAAATTGGCTGACATTTCCTTCACTTGAGTTTATAAATGTCCATGTAGTTTCTTTCAGGCCCTCAGCCTGACCATGTGACCTTTTTTTATTTAATATGCGTTTCTTAATTATATGCTGGCCTTAGCTAAAGAAACTTTAAAATAGTAATAATAATCTATGTATACACTTTCTGATCTGTACTGAAACTGATAAATACCAGATAGATCCAATTTAGTTTTTTATTACATTAAAATTTAAATACCTTGGCTGATGCAGTTGTATTTTCCTCATACCCAATGAGTGAGCTGCTTAAAAAATTGTCCTGTTTTTAATAAATGGCTTTAAAAACTATTTGGCCTAGACAAAATGACTTCAAATGGAAAAGTGGTAAAAATGATTGAAGTATTAAAGAATGAAGAATTGTTTTTCCAAATCCCTTCCCCAAAGAACTTTTTTTCTAATTTCAACAATAATTCTAATCTGCCAGTTAAATCTTAAGCTAAATTGGAAGGCTCCAGGAGTTACATAGAAGGTTTGAATAAGCGTTTATCACAAGTATACCTGTCTTAGTGACACTACAGTTAGAAGGGTTTTTTTTTCATAAATCCACTATATTATTTTTATATACTGCCAACTGTTTATCTCCATTTCATAAAGAAGCACTGAAGTGAAAAAACTAAGAAGTACTGGTTACATAAGACTTCTTGCCATAAAACAGAGAACTTGGCTGCTCTCTGAACAAGGTTTGGCAAGTCGGCAGATGTCAAATATTTTCTCCCAGTAGAAATTAGAAAGCTGGAGCTGAATCTGATGTTGTTTAAGTAAAAGGAAGCAAGTTTTAAATGGGGTGAGAATGTATCTTGTTTTAAAACAGGCCAGTGGGCAAAGGTCTTTATGAAAGGAAAGGATCTAAACAGAAGACTTATAGAAATCAAATCCTTGAAGATTTATAATTTAAATTACATGGCACGGCTTCCCCAAGGTAGGGGTAGCCAGCCCTCTTAGAATTGTTTTGAGTTGTATTCCCACCTATCTGGAGAATGACAGGTTGATAAAACCAGTGAGTCTGTATTTGTGTGTGAGAGAGAAGCCAGGCAGGGTGGGGGGGAGATGATGGGCAAGGTGAGCTTGTATTCATTTCTTAAATAAAGTTCTCAATACTGAGATGTGATTAACAGTTGAATATTCACATACTTTTTTTTTTTTTTTTAAAGGGAGCAGTTTGATTAGCAGTTGCTTGAGAGTCAATATATTGTAGTAGCTCAACAAAGTTGACTTTTCCATTTAAGGAGGAAGCTCATTGAATCGGGCTCATGAAAAACTGATTCCATCTTCCAAATATCTGGAAGTACATATTGGAGATGAAAGGAAGAATAGAATAATACTTCTCTTCACTGCATCTGTTGGATAATGTTGGGGACAATAAACCAAACAAACTTGTTTTCTTGAACTATCTAATGCATACAGTGCTTCTGGAAAGTTGATATCCAGCATTTTCAACACTGTCTAGCCCAGAGAATAAGCCTATTAACTTGCCCTATTTCTTTCAGAAATATTCTGACACAGAGGATCCTGGTAAAGAAATGAAACCATTTCCCCCCCCTGTATACTGAAACTATAGAAATGTAGCTCCAATATTGGCAGATTTAATTTTGTAAGTTTAAATTAATGCTTCTGTGGCCTTTATGATAGTCTCTCATATGTAAAAATGGACCAGCTTATACGTCTTAACCTACTACATCTGTTTGTGTTCTGTGCTGCACACATGGCCGGTTCCTAACTTGTTAAACAAGTTAAACCCTTAACTATTTACTAACATGATCATGATTCAAAATGTAGACTTTCTGCTTAGAGAATGAAGCTTATTTTTCAGATAGTCCAGAAAAAGACAAAACACCAGTTCAGAATTGATCCTGGAGTGTCAGGTTGAAGAGCAAAGTTCAGCTGGATGAACCAAGGAATCCAAATCAGCATACAGATAGGATTGCAGGCAAGATGGTGGTGATGGTAGTAGAGCATTGATTGATACAAGAAGCCAGTCTAGCTGCAGTTTCACTTCTATAGCTCTTCCTATCAGCTTGACTATTTGCTGAATCATACGTCTTTCTTTCACGTAGATAGATGGTCTTCCTTTTTAATTTGTTGTGTATTGCTGGGCTCATGACTTAGACTAGCTCAGCTCTGGATCAGCTGATTGAGCCTGAATCTGTGTCTCCTCGGGTGTGCTCTCTGTCCAGTTCCGGTGATGCAGGCTGAGTCCAGTGTTCAGCCTGGCCAAGTTCTTTAGCTTGTGTATCTGAAGACTCAGACTGATCCCTAACACTTTGCTATCATCCAGTTGAAGAAGGATATAATGATATTTGACTTTCTTCCTTTTAAGGCCAGATGACAGACCTGATTTATGCAGAAAAAGATCTGGTACAGTCATTAAAAGCATATATTCAAGAGGAAGAATCCAAGCTTGCTAAAATAAAAAGGTAAAGGGAAGAGACTTTGTTTTTCATATTAATATATTTTTCTTTACTTGGCTACTAGGCATTGTCACACTATGTTGGCTTTTGCACTTGAGCAAAGAGAGAAGATAAAGGCTGAAAATCTGCAATTTTACCTAAAAGTAAATCCCATTAAATTCAGTAAGGTATTTGCTGTAAGTGATGTCATGTTTCAATACAGATTACTCTCGTTCTGCGTTCTATGTAGAATGTAGATACAATCACCAAGAATTGGCTATAGCTTCACAGAATATAACATAACATTCTACATTAGAAAAACAAGAGTTTACCTTTTTTCCCCCCAGAAATTTGTCAGTGGACCAACAAATATGAATGCAACCCAGTGTGTGAAGAAGCTCTTAGGATAGTCATTGGATTATATTCCCTTGTAGCATATTACCTCAAACCTTATTAATTTCCCTCTCATATTTACAGTAGGGTAACACAAATGCAACAATCAGAGCCAGGGAGAAAAGATGGTCTTCTGATAGGTGAACATATAAAGAGAACTGGGGAGCAGGTTGCGACTGGGCATAGGCTGAGCCTGGAATTTATGTGTAGTTTCAGAATCAAGTTCCTGAATCCTTTCATGTACAAACTAACTTTTTATTTCCTCCTGAGCACTTGTTTTTAATTGCCTAATTCGGAGTGGTGGTGTTAGGGCACTATTTCTGCTATTATTACACAGCAGATATCAGAAACAGTTGCACGTCTAAGAATGGAAAGACATCTTCACGTTGAACTCAGTTTCTGCTGACTGTATCCATGTAGTTCTGTCGGCCATGTTACAGAACTGGCTGTCTGTTTGTTTCAGTTTCCCCTTCAAATACTAACCAGGGCCAACCCTGTTTAGCTTCTGAGAACAGCCAGGATAGGTTAGGTGCTGCCACCTGCTGAGACCTTTCTTATTTATAAAATGTTTACTCAGATTTACCTCTGTATTTTAATAGACGTTTTCCTTGATATAATTGATGTTTTAGTATACAACTTTATTAATTGTTCCTTCACTCTGATAGTTTAAAAATCAACCTGAAAGAAAGAAATAATCAAACATTTTTAAAGGGAATTGGTCATATGAATCTTTGCATATTTAAAGGTACTACATAAGTAATAAAATGCAAGATGGTGGGAAATAGTGGCAATAATTATATCATTTCCACAACCCAAGATTAAAGGACACAGATGATTCTAATAAGAGGGAAAGTAATTGGGAATACAAAGACGTATATTGTTATATCCTTACCTATTCAGGGTTAGTAAGCTAAAATGATATTAAATATATGTATATGCTTTTGTTTTCCAGCTGGGCTGAGACAATGGAATCCTTAACTGTCAAATCCTCCTCCGATCCAGAAGGTTATCTTGCTCATCCTGTCAATGCCTATAAACTAGTGAAGCGCCTCAACAAAGAATGGCTAGAGCTGGAGAATCTAGTTCTTGAGGACACAACCAAAGGTAAGAATATTTGGAGAATCAGACATGTAATATAATCAATATGGATTGTTTTGGAGTTTTTTTTCAACAAATTTCCTTCATCAGTAATATTATTCTGTCATCTTTTTATTAGCGAGGTTGTTCTCTCTTTGTCCATAATCATAACAATCTAATTCAAACTCCCTGAACTAATGTGCTAACATGGAATGCAGTTATCTCTCAGTTTTTGCACTTCTCTGAATTGTACAGTGAAGTGACAAATATCTTCAGGAAAGTGTTTGCAAAAATCCACTGATGGGATATAATTGTAGGCCAGCATACAATATTCCAAGCTGATGCATAAAGCACAGAAGGAACTTGTGCCTAAAAATTAGTGACCATTACAGAACGTGAAAGAAACAGTGTGACCTGTCCTCAGTATTTGTAACTGCATGAGGATATTGGTTAAGATGGAATAGTGCTGAGTGGCCAAAAGTTTCTCTTGAATTCCCCTACTGTATCTGGTATGACTTTAGCACATACAACCCCTCCGTTCAGAAACAGATATGTATTTAAGTCTTCATGCTTTCTTTTTTTATAATAACTTTATTAAATTTTAAAAGAACAATAAAAACTAACCAAAACTAATATTAAGAAAGAAAATAAGAAAAAAAAGAAAGAATTGGAAAAAGAGAAAATAGTAAAAAGCAAAGGTGCAGAAAAGAAAAGGAAAAAAAAAGAAAAGAAAACAACAACAAAAAGAATTGACTTCCGACCCACCCCGCAACAGATATAAATAACAATATTCCTCAAACTCTTGCTCTAAATTTACTATGTAATTTCCGTTATTTCTATTAACCCATATTATTTCCAATCATCCAACCCATACAACATAATTTTATTTTTTATATCCCACAAAAAGTCCCGCCCCCCCCAAAAAAGTCCTCATGCTTTCTATAGAAAAGGAAAGGGAGAAAAAGCCGGTGTCTGACTTTTCCCCTGCGGCTGGATTCTTCCCATCAGGATCATTTCTTCAAATTAAGTTACAGTTACCTCCAAGTGCTTTTGAATCATTGCTATTTAGCTGTGGGTCATTTGGAGCAAAGAAAAGGTTAAGATGGCTCTTTCCTGAAGCCGTTTTTCTAAAGGAAGGAATTTTTACTCATCTGGACTCTAAAATTTACATTTGCATACAACATGTAATTAACCTTTCAGAAATGTTTTAGTCAGCCCTGGGAGGTTGGTGAGGCTGAGGAATGTGGATTGGACAAAAGTAAGTTCTGTCTCGGCTTTACTAAAGGAGTGAGTCGTATTTTTGTGATTGGAACTGTACTTCTTTTTCCTTTGCCTACTAAAGACTATGACAGGGATATAATGATGGCATCAGAGAAAGCAGTGGGGAGAATGTTTGTTTGTTTGTTTTTCTTACTTTTTGGGGTTGGGGATTTAAGCCAAATAGATAAGCGGCACAGTGGATTAATGCACACACTATGGGAGGCAAAAAAGGACTTTGGGAGGCCATGACTTATCCTATAGGCACCTTTACAGCAGTAAGAGGCACTGGTATGCTCAGTACAATGTAATATGTAAACAAAAAGACACAGTTCTCACATGCATCAACATACTGCACATCTTCAGATCTGTCTGCAGGCTAGCCTCTCTTTTCACCCCAATACGATATTTGCAAGGGAACATTGTGATGCGTTTGCCTCCCTTTAGAACAGTAGGGAATGGCAGTAAGGATTTCCTGCATCCAGGTTTGCCATTTGACACTGCAGGGTCTGAGAATTGCTGTCCTTCTTCTTAGCGTTTGTCCTGCTCAGTTGCAGAGCCTGCTTGTTTTGCACTGTGCTTTCAGCAAAACGTATCAGTGCACAATGTGACGTGGGGGTGGGGGTTTCAGCCAGCTGGTCACAGAGCCTGATGCTGACTTAGGCTAAGAGAGAGAGGCTGACAGAAGGTCACAAACCTGACTTTTGTCCCTAAGGGAGGACTAGAACCTAGGCCTCCACGCTCCTAATCCAGCATGTCAGTTCTCACACAGGGTCTAAGAGCAGAAGACCTTGTTTCCTATTTTTGAATTGCTTGTGCTACTTGGAAGATGAAAGCCCTTCTCTTGTAAACTAAATTGTCTTTGGCTCCTTAAAGTTTGGGTGAGAGCAGTGTTACTCCAGATATATTAAAAAATAAATGGACAACAGCAAAAAAAAGGCCCCTGCAAAACATCTGTTGCTTTATTTGGAAGTGGTATCCATTTTGGGTTATCCAAATTCATAATTTGCAAACTAGCCACAACTAAGAGAATGGGAATCACTTCTCTAGCAAATCATCCCTTTCAGAAATATTCATAAATATGTTAGACTAATCTTCAAGAAATAAGGTCTGTGTCAATAAGCAAGTAAAACACTAGACTATTCTTCCTCTCTGTTATCGTGATGCCAAGTATACAAGATGAAGTTTCTCTTTCCTTCCACATCTGGTATTGCAGTATGGAGACTGCTATTCAGATGTGATCAACTGTATAAATCACTTTTCTTTTCTTAGAGCCAATAGCCTTTGAAGTTTTTAGCTATTGACCGCATTAAGTCACAGAGAAACATGGTACTTAAGTTTGGCTGTCCGGATATGAATTAAATAAATTTGTGCCTACACAGAATCAAGATTTGTAATCTCTGTGTTTTAAAATGCAGCATTATAAGCAACTATATTTATTCCACTAGATTTTCTTGCAAAAATGGTTTCTATACATAAGCCTAGATGTTCCTTTTGCAGCTATTTCTCCTCTTCCTTTTTGCAAAACTGTTTTTGACAGGAAATACTTGTTTCTGAATGTTCTAGTGGTATTAAAGAGGAAACATTGTTTTCTCAGAAATCAACCACATATGGTTTAGGGCAGTATTGTGCTTATACTAAAAGCATAGAGGACTTGAAATATGCTTTTCCAGCCAGGGCATGTAGCTCATGTTTTAACAGTACTTCATAAGAGCATTATCTCTTGAAGCTTTGAGAGAGCAGGAAAAGATGACCTGTCTTCACTGGCAAAGGATTGGTACAGACTGCAGAAAAGTTCAGGGAACACAATCACTTTTTAGTTTATACTTCATGTCTCCATTACTTTCAGTGTGTTGGCCATATGTGTGAGTGAGCACTGGGAGTGGAGCCACATCTTTCTCACTGTTGGATATTGAATGGGTTACATTAGAGGTTCTTTGCTTTATGTGATTAAAAGTTATATGTATGCATACATTGTTGGATCACAGTTATTAGCACTTTGGAAAGGAGAAGACTTGCAACTGATTACAAGTATTTATAAAAAGGAGAAACAAGCTTGCCATAAATTTTCTGGCCAGTTATTTCTGAACTTCATAGGCTAAAAAGGCTGAAAAACATGCAAAAACATAGACTTTTGTAATAATATTTTCGATCCCAGAACATTTAGTTATTCTGCTAGATACTCTCTGTTAGCACCCCCTATAGTCCCATTTTCTCACTGGTAGGTCTGCATAATTATTTTGCACATATCTAATGATGAATTTCAGGAATTCCTCATTGGTGAGACCTGTTCTCCACTTTATTATTTAATTGTTCTGATTTACATTAGCTATTTAATTTGTGGTGTTTTTGTTAAATGATGCCTACTGGCTTTTGGAGACTCTTGGTACTGATAGCCATATGCAACAGGGGTAAATTGTTCTTTCATAGTGTTACAAATGCTTTAAATATAAATACATATAAATAAATATCACACCATCTACTAAATACATTGGGTGGACTGTGGCTTATTACATACTGAATGGCCAGTGCTGAATTTTTGCACTTGTTGTGTGTGTTTTTTTTAAAATGTCATTTGTAGTTCAAAACAATCTTGGTAGAAATGCATGGTTAAATACATATTTAAGATGGATTCGGTTGACTAATACTTGTCTCAAACTAGGTAAGATTTATCAGACTGCTTCATTAAAATCTATGCATTAAAAAACCCATGGTAAATTTATTACAAGTGCATCACTGCCCTAGTTGAGGTACAGCAATAAAGCTGTGAGTCGGCCACCAGAACTAAGTCTCAATTTCATGTTTTCTTTCCTTCCCCAGTCTTTTCTGTATCCAAATGGGCAGACAATGGGTTACACAAATTACAGTGTATCTTGAAACCAGAATTAGAAATGATGATTTGAAGTAGATTTCCAATTGTTTTTTGGAGGTAAACTATAGACTGCTCAGATATAATGGGAAGCTGGTTTCTTCAAAGCAAAAAGGGAGGGGGTGGGTTGGAACATTGCAGAAGCACTATGAAATTAGGGTGGGGGGGGGTAGAAGGAAGAAATGTCCAAGTAGGAAGTTCAGTACAATTAATCAGTCTATGTTTCGGCAATTAAATTGCTCCAGTTTGGATGCATGGTGGAAAAATATGATGACCTTGTTGTTATTCTTTGGATCCAGTTCCTATACATGGAACTCATCATACCAAAGGACCAAAAGCTCTTATTTCCCCACTGCCTACATTTATTTTCATTTGCTTACTTGAAACATATCCATTTTCTTCATTGTTTCTTCATGTTTAGTTCATTGGATTTTATCTTCATGCCAAATAGTAAATAACAATGTATTCTATGTGATTTGAGAGAGTCTGATGAGAACATTGTTTATTTATGTTTCAATTTCAACTGTTGAATCCAATTTACCATATTCTCTGAAACAGGAGAGATGTTTTTCATTGGAGATAACTCTGCTATTGATTATAGTCTTCTGAGCACCCAGTTAACCATTTTTGTCTTGTTCAAATAAAGGCTTTATTTCAAATCTGACACTTCAGCGTCAGTTTTTCCCAAATGAAGAAGATGAGACTGGAGCTGCCAAAGCATTAATGCGTTTGCAGGACACATACAAGCTGGACCCTGAAACAATATCAAAAGGAGAATTTCCAGGTGGTGATTGAAACCTACTTGATGTTTCTATAAAGCTTATTGATTCTTTGAATTGGGTTCCCTGCTGAATATCAAAAACAGTGGAATATGCTATAAAACCATACAGTTGTTTTCTACACCATATCCTGTGTCCTAAATACAGTTCTAGGTAGCTCTGTGCCAGTTTTTGTTTTTCATTTTGCTATTTCCAAGACTACAGTTAGCAATGGTCCATCAGATTCCAGAAAAACATGCTTAGTCATACTTATAGCATTATTGTAAAGGTGCAGAAATAGCTTGGAAATGTAATGCTCTTGTCCTAAGGTTTACTTACATTTCAAGCAAAAACAATCAGTCTCCACTGTTTAGGTGACTTCTATGCACTGTCAGAATGATTTGGATTCAAACCGGTATGCTGGACGAGAGAGCAGTTTAAGGTCACCATATATTTCAGACAGAGCAAAAATTGTCAAATTGTTTATTAACACTTCTGTGATTATTAGGCCTCATAAATGCATTTATGGCAAGGTAAGTAACTTATAGGCTTCTTGTTAACTATAAACATTTTTGTGTAATCTTTTGTTGATTCAGAAGTTTTATATGCCACATTTACTAGTAAAATCCTCAGAAAGTGGCTTCCATTAAAAATATTTGGATAACAAACTTCAATACGGTGAACCATTAATAAAAGCCAGTATTTGGCTCTAACTCATGCTAACCTGGGATTCATTCCAGTTTTTCACATGGATCAGTTTATTTGGCAACTAGACATTATGAACATCTGGAGTTAAAGGTATATTTCAATATATTTTATTGTCCCAGAATCTAGATGACTCTGTTAGGGTAAATCAGATACACAACTGCACATGGATGTTGTGTAATTGAACTAGAAAGTTCTCAGTGGTTTTTGTGCTTAAATTGAGACTCCACAGAAGCCAGGCCATACTATGCATCTGGTTTATTTTGTGTTCCTTTTAACCACAGAAAACTTTACTTCTGGATGGGGAGGACAGCAGGTTTGACTGAAAGTGTCCAAGATAGCTGACAGTTTTAAATTTTGAAGAGGCAACTCCCCACCCCATCCAAGACTTTAAAGGATCCTGTAGATATGTGACAAGGGAGATATAAGATTTGGAAAAGATGTACTTCAGAATACTTGCTCTTTGATTCCACATATTTGAAATGTAAATAAGGTTTTCCTTGAGGTTTAAGAGAAAGACAGTGGGACTTCAGCTCTCAATTCCCTTTACCTTCCAATTCCACTATTCATACAGATAACAATAAGTATTAGGTCTGAGGGTTTCTGCTCTTTGTTCTCAAAGAGTTTTAAGAAAAAAGTGACATCCTCCCACACTGTGGGGAAAGCAGGGGTATTCCTACTTTCAGTGCAGTTTTTTTGGTTGTACTTTCCCCTAGCAATTTAAAAGTTCCTGGTGAGAGGAGGGGAAATGAACTCAAAGGTTATATACTGAATGAAGTATGTAATCTGATCTTGAATCTCCTGACACCCCCACCCTCACCCTGGTAAGATTCTAGATTGAAGAAAAGGAAGCAACAAGCTGAAGGAACACTAACAACCCAATTCTTGACTCAGTGGTACCTAGGAGTGTAATTTTCAAAGCAGAAGGAGAACAGTTTATTTCTATTTGGTTTGGAAGATTTGTGAATAGGCAGGAGGTCATTAGAAAAATCCATCCTTTCCCTGAATACCTCAGAGGCTCCTCCCTTTATTCAACATGTCCACAAGCAAAAGTAGCCATCTAAAACAAAGGGGATAATAAAATAGAATCAAATGATTTCTCCACGTGCCTTTATTGTGCAGAAATCTATCAGAGGAAAAGCCCAGGCAGGTTTATCAGATGTGCTTAATGTGTGTTTTATTAATTTCAGGCACAAAGTACCGATCTGCCCTGAGTGTGGATGACTGTTTTGGTATGGGGAAAACAGCTTATAATGATGGAGATTTTTATCACACAGTGCTGTGGATGCAGCAAGCACTGAAACAGCATGATAATGGTGAAGAGGCAACCATCACTAAAGCTGAGGTCTTGGATTACCTCAGCTATGCCGTTTTTCAGCTTGGGGATTTACACAGAGCAATGGAACTTACAAGACGATTGGTCATCCTAGGTAAGAAGTTCTGATAGGAACTCACTCTAATCCATAGAGGAAAAGATGCTCTGGAGCAGTGCTTCTCAACCCTAGTAACTTTAAGATGTGTGGACTTCAACTCCCAGAATTCCATGCTGGCTGGGGAATTCTGGGAGTTGAAGTCCACACATCTTAAAGTTGCTAAGGTTGAGAAACACTGCTTTAGAGAGAATGTGGGCAGTTTGCTGCCTTTGTTGGCCCATCCTAAAAAAAGCCTCACCTTTTCCTGGGATCACGAAGCAACCACATGGTCCAGGAAGATAAGTGCCTGAAGTAAGGAGATGCCAAGAGGGTGGGAGAAGATTGTTGCACTGTGTGCCTCCTTATAGGTCCTTAACTCAAGCACTTATTTTATTGGGACCATAGAGCTCCCTGCTTCTTTAAGGAGGCACCACCAAATGCAGCAAGTGTGCCCCCATTTCCTGCAAAGCACCTTTTTTGCCTCAGGTCCAAATAGCTGCACATCCTGAGTAAGAAGGGTAGATCATGCGTTTTTCCTCAACAGGCTTGTGGAATCTCTAATCTGGGAAGCATCTCTAGCCTGCCCACAAAGGCCCCAGTAAGGTCTTGCCAGTGGTGCTCCAAGAGGACAAAAGTTAAGGTTCTGTGATCACCATTGTTTGGAAAAGAATCCCCTTGACAACATAGAATATCACTTCACTGCTGCTCCGATGCTTTTGAATGAAAGCAGCACTAAATTATCCTGAGTTCTGCTGAGATTAAGTGAAACTAATGCTGACCTTTAGATCTTTTAATTCAGACTTCCAAATGAGGTGGTGTGGATTATTTACTCTGTTGCCTTCTCTGTCTTAACTATAAAGGTGATTGAGAAAAACTTTCAAAAGTGGGAAGGGAATAAGAATGCTTGTTTACATTCAGTATTTCATTCTGAACTGATCTAGAAGTAACACTTTCTACTTTTGTATGATTACTATAAATTAAATACCAATGTAATTCTACTTTAGGCCATATTTTGATGAATCTGTAGAAACTACATTTTATCAACATCCCTGCATATTTGGACTGATATGGCAGATCCCTTTCAGAAGCATATGGTAGTGTTGGCAGGGGAGCAGAATCTGATCATTCTTAGTCCACTCCTTTCTCTGAGGACATCTGGTACTACTCAGTGAAATTATTTACTTGAATTAAAGTGTAGTTTATCTAGGGCAAAATAGCAATCCAATCTATTTCTGTCAGGATTGCATTTAAATCAGCGATGGAATCCTAAATATTGTTTTATTTTTTAATGGGTAATTTTCCTTTTCATTCTTTGGTCGTTTATCTTTACGAAAAAAATAATCATTCCTCCAAATATATTTTAAATATATAGCTATCTGATCAGCTCTTTCTTTTCTACCAGTTTGCTTATCCATTTTCTTTTTGCCAGAATAATTCCCTTGCTATGTAATGTTGACTTTTTTTTCAATTTCTTGCCCTCATTCCTTTCATTGCTACTAAGGCATTTGACAGTAATAACCATATACGTTTAGTCTTATATTAAATGAAATCAATAAAGGATTCAAATTTACTATATGATGTATTTTTTATTTTTGTGTTTGAAATTTGATACTAACTTTCATTCAAAGGCATTGGATACTTACACTCAACATGCACACACACACACACGATAATAAGAAGACAACCCTAAACATACTAGATTTCCAACAATGAAAATAATTAATTCATCCATTCAAACTTTGTTGGTGTTAATCTTGATGATTTTGCCTGGGGTCAGAAGCTAAGTAGGGTTGGGCATGGTTAGTGCTTGGTGGGGAGACTACCAGGGAATAGCAGAGCTATAGATTGGACTGGAAAATCTGAATATTTTCTGGAAGAAAGCAATGTCAAAGCCTTCCATACTGTAGCCAAGTGAAGTCATCAGGAGCGGATTTGTACCATCTGAGCCTCAGTTTGGGATGTAGCTCTCAAGTTTCATGTTAATTTGTATATGAATGATATTGTTAAACTTAAAATTTTGTAGGAAAGATTTGAGTGTAGGTCTACGGTTATTCCCTCTTAATTGCTGGACCAGTTCAGTTTTTTTCCCCTAAAATATCCAGAGTGAGGCCTTTCCACTGTGAACCATTGCTTATTCACCCAAAATTGCTTATTCTCTTACTTGATTGGGCTAATCTGCTGGGTAGTTACAATGAAATGAACAAGCTCCCTTTTAACATAAATAAATAAATTGTGTTCTTTTTAATGTAGAGAAAGGCCATGTGTTGGGAAACATGGTCTTACATCATTTTTGAGACAGTGTATTACAGACTTTATTTATTGCCCTTGTACATTTCAAGCCCAATAAAGATTATATCTTTGACTGCCAGAGAGCTTAACAGGAGATGAGAGGGGCAGTTGTCTTACCTGCACAATGTAACTGGTGGCCTGCTATAGATTTCCAAGTCCTGGACTGATTCTCTTCTGATTCTTTCCAATCAAGAGCCAAGTCACGAGAGAGCAGGCAGCAACATGCAGTACTTTGAGAAGCTGCTGGAGAGCGAAAAAGAAACAAACCAATTCAATAAAACATCAGGCACAAGTGAGCCCAAAACGTACAGTGGCATTTACGAAAGGCCTCAGGACTACCTGCCAGAGCGCGAAACCTATGAGGCCCTTTGCAGAGGGGAAGGTGTGAAACTGGTGAGTAAAAAAGTGCCAAAGATTACCAGCTTAAATTCTCATACTGTTAGTGTTTCTTCTGAGCCTGTATTCTACAAGCAAGTTCATCCTTCCTTTTAACTTGCAAAAAAGAAAAATAAATAGGTGGCTTCACATGGCAGGATAACTTAATTTTTATACCAAAAATCTAGCCCCCCATTAAAAAAAATGAGAACAAAAGGACCATTTCAATATTTTAAAAACAATTGCCATTTCAGAAGAATAACAAATGATTTCTCCTTTGAATGATATCCAGTTGCTCATCTGTAAGTTTCAAGACTATTCAGCTTGGTGTCAGTGGAGTTATGAGCTGAGAAAATGCTTAGAATTATGACAGGATGCTAAGCAAGAGATTTTATCTTTCCTGTATGAAATTATTTTCTAAATAATTAAGACTCAGGAGTCATATTTCAACGTACCCTTGCTTATATGCTGGTATATTGTATCATTTGATTTTTGAACTTTTTAGACACAAACACACAACATCGTACATGTCATGACTGGCCTGAAGAGGATTGTATAGGCCATGTAATATAACCCTGTTAAATCTAAGGAAATTCTGAGAGTTTCTTTATTTTATGGCTGTCCGATTCTATGCCTGTAAAATATCTTCCTTTGCTGAATGGTTAAAAGACTATTAGTTCTCCTGATGTTCAGATGAAATCTTCCTATGACCTTCTAGTGGAATTGGCCATCGTTATCATAATTCCTGATCAGCATTGCATCAGAGAATGCTGATCTAGTCATGGTCTTTGGTGCAGAAAAGCTCAAGTTTTTGTCCCCATTTGTATGCTAGTTCTTTTGGTATCCCTTTTCTCTTTTATTCTCCAAGTTACCATGGACGCTTTTCTACATTTAATTAGTTCGTTTCAACCCAAATATCTATTTTGTCAGAGTACTTTTCAGTTGTAGTCTTATATTTGGAGATCCTAGCTATCCCTCTCAAATTTTCTATAATCAGCAAATATAATGATTTATTCCATCTCCTCATGTAAGTCCTTAGTTAAAAATATTGCAGTCATGAGGCACGCTATTCAAAATTTCCAACCCAGTAATTTTGCAGTGTAGAATCCATATCCCATAAATGATATTTGTATCCAAATAAAACATCTAATATATTTAGACTGTTATTTTTCCCTGTAGTTATAAGGCAAATATTGTTTACCTAAATTCAAGAACTAAAATATTCTATTTATCTGGATATATTCATAGACGCCTCGAAGACAGAAGAGGTTGTTTTGCAGATACCACAAT